TAGATAAAAATGGACACAATACCTTTATTTAGTTTATTTAGTTTTTTTATGTGGTGTTGAGGATTGAACCCAGTGCCTTGCATGCTAGGCAAGCGCTCTACCGCTAAGCCACAACCCCAGCCCAATAGTTATTTCTTTAGAGAATATTGGAATTAATTACCTAGCAGGCAAATAGTATATGTATGTGTATGAAATCATAATCAAGTATGTATGAAAAACCCAAACCTAAAGTATCAGTCTACGTACATTGATCTGACACTAATCATAATTAATTTTGTTCTGTATGTATTTTGTTTCCAACACGTAAATGGTAGCAGGTAACAAAATGTTTTAAAAATCACTAGAATTATCTCCTGACAATTGACAACACTACCACCACCAATAATACTAATAGTCAGCATTTAAATCTTTGCTAATTGAGGCTCTTCCTGAGCTCTATCTAGTCCCATCCACTCCACTTTAAATATATATATATATTTTTTTTTACTTTTAGGTGGGCACAATGTCTTTATTTTATTTTTATGTGGTGCTGAGGATTGAACCCAATGCCTCTTGCATGCTAGGCGAGCGCTCTACCACTGAGCCACAACCCCAGCCCCACTTTTTTCTTTTTTAATCAGTGCCCCATTAGTGTCCTTGTTAGCACTTGGAATTTTAAGTTTCCTTGTTTCCTAGCCCTCTCTCCCCTGTTCCCACATTATATTCTAAGCTCATGTGGACGTGAACCTGATCTTCCTCACTCTGTACCCACTGTGCCCAGATCCTTTGCCATGGGAATGAGTACCTGCCCATTTCAAGGGCTCCACCAGTGTGATCATTTAACTCTTTGTAACATACCTGGAGGTTGGACACAGATTCACAGAGCCACAAAACAGTGACACTTCTGAGGTGACCAACCCTCCTGGTGAGCCTGATGCTATCCTGGTCCTAGCACTCATGGTCTATGTCCCAGGAAACCCACTGTACTGGACATACTGGGATGCTAGGTCCCCCTACCTGGAATTCAAACATACGGTTTCCCTATTTATTCTATGCCCTGTGGGGTAGTCCTAGCTCAGAAATTTACTTTTCTTAGGCTGGGGTTGTAGCTCATTGGTAGAGTACTTGCCTAGCACTAGGTTTGATCCTTAGCACCACATAAAATAAATAAATAAAAGAAAGGTATTGTGTCCGTCTACAACTCAAAAAAAAAAGTTTTTTTAAAAAAAGATATTTACTTTTCTTTGTAAATTTGTAAGAAGCTGAATATTTAATTTTGTCATAGAGTAAATCTCTCAGGTCACAGGGTTGAAAATCTGACCCTGTCTGGGGCAAGTATTTAGGAATCAAAAAACTAAAAGATCAGTCAACCTGGGGGTGATGAAGTAGATAGTTTACGGCTTCTTCAAAGTACTCCAGGTGAAAGATGTCTGCGCTCTGGGGAAGGTCATCATAGTTATAATAAGCCAGAGCCATCACAGCAAAACCCTTGCCAGCCAACAGACTAGCTCGGTAATCCAGAAGGCCACCTCCAAGTCCAAACAGGTCGATGATCCCAGGAAAAGGCCCAGGTCCTTGGAAAGAAACAGAGCATAGATCTAGTCCTCAAACAACTTGGAGGGGACTCTCATTTATTTGTTGTGGGGAGAGGGGCAGGCTGGGGAGTGCTGAGCACTGAAGCCTCCTATCCTGTTTCCCTGGCTCTACCTTGTACTGCAAAAGGCAAGCATGAGACCCAACCTCCCTTGTGACCCGGTCTCATTCCCATGAGTGATAGAGTTAACACAGGTTAGTATTCACTCAGGTCAGCAGTGTTGCCATTGAGTCCACAGGAGCCACAAGCATCCAGCTTCAGTGATGGCCTGTCGTGGTTTGTTTGGGTGGTAGAATCTCCCTTGGATTCTCTCAGTTTTCTGATCCTGATCCCCAGTGTTCTTGTCAACTTTGTTCTTAACCAATGGCTTTACAATAAATTCCTTTCCTATTTAGGTAACCCAGAGTTTGTTTTTGATGCTTGTGATTCTAAATTTGAATTGATTTGAATTTCCAGGAATTGTGATGACTAAGCTGGTTGAGGTGGCACACATCTGTAATCCCAGCGACTCGAGAGACTGGTGCAAGATCAGAAGTATGAGCTCAGCCTCAGCAGCTTAGCAAGACCCTGACTAAAAATAAAAAATAAAAATAGCTGTAGCTGTGGCTCAGGAGCACCCCTGTATTCAATCCTCAATACAAATTAAAAAAAAAATGAGTTGTGACGTCAGAAGGTACCATTGGTCATCTTGGAAACATTTGGAAACGAACTGTTATAGTTAAAGCTTCATCCCTGGGTTTCATAAACTGACTTGCAGACTACTCACGAATAATTGAATCAAGCCTTTATTGAAGCACGGGTGGCGACTGACCAGAACATAAAACTGTTCCCCTTATCAGCCCCAATCAATTGAAAGGGCGCTCCTTATAAGCCTGAAAACTGCAAAAGGGATGTTTGGGGGTCTAGCCAATGCAAGCAAGCCAAGTTACAGAAGCGGGAGAGTGCAGTCAGGCGGAGGGACGCTTAGCCAATCATAATTAGCCCAGTCACCCCAGTTTCAGAAACAGAGCCCCATTACCCTAGTTAGAAACAATGCCCCATTAGGTAGTTTCTTGTTCCTAAAAGTTTCTATAGCAAAAGGAAAAGGACATCTTGCCCTGGTCATGACCCTTCTATTTGGCATGGTTGTTTTACAAAATGGAGTTACTAAACAAAATGGAGTCACTTTTGCTTTTACTATCACAGAACTCCAAATCTCAGGCAGTGCTTATACATTCTAGGTCTAGGCTTATGATTTTCATGATTGCCATCAAAAACTGAGTCCACATTTCATCTATACCTGCTGTCACATGTTTCCAGATCTTTATTTTTGTAGTAATATTATAACTAACAAAGACTCAGATTATTATTGCCTTTCTTTCCAAACTGAGGGTGGGGAATCTCTGCACCATGCATAACATGTTAATAATCATAGCACAATTTATCTGTTTCCTTTTTTGATGATCATTAAAGTTGTTGCAATTTATTATTACTTGCACTGCAGTGACACACATCCTCTAAACTCCAGCTGCATTTAGCTAGGACTATGTTCAATTTTCATGCCTAGGTTATTTATATAATATGTAGATTTCAATTTTTGCTAAAAGTTGCCAAGCTGTTTTCCAAAGTTGTGTTATTGCACAGTCTCACCAGAAATATGGACTGTTCTTGTTTTACTACATCTTCACCAATACTTGACCATCATTTAAAAATGTTTGCCTTATTGAAAGGTATGAGATGGTATTCCACAGTACTTTAAAAAGGATATTTCTGTTGAGAATTTTCTCATGTGCTTATTGACATTCTTTTCCTATTTATGTTTTAAATTCAATGTTATATCCTTGACCTATTTTTCTACGAAGCTTATGTTTTACTCTATTGGTTTGTAGAAGTTTTCTTTACTATATTCTTGATTCTGATCCCTTATTATATGTATTTTAACATCTTCTGTCACATAATTATCTCTTTATCTTCTTGTTTGTCTCACCGAGGTTTTTCAGTTTCCTTTATTATTGGTCCTTTCTGAGTTTATGTAAGAAACCCTTCCTGTATAGGGTTATAGGATACTCACATTTTACATTTGTTTTTCTCATATAGATCTTTGATCCATCTGGAATTCATTTTTGTGTATGATGTGAGGTAGGGATCTAAATAAATCTCAATAATACTGCCATTTCCCAATAATTTATGCTACTATATCAATCTCCATATTTTCGTATATGTATGTATCAATTTAAGAAATGTCTATTCTATCCTATAACTTATTAGTCCATTCTTATATCACCACATCTTAATCACTAGAGTGTAACAATTAGACTTAATTCCTGAGTAGGCAAGTGTTATTCATTATCCTCCTGAACTTGTTAAGTTCCAACAAGTTCCCCAGTGATGCTGCTGGGCTGCTGCTGTTGCACTCTGCTTGAATAACCACAGGAGAGCAGCTTGTCACAATACCTGAATGTGCTCACAAACCACAGTGGGGGAGCGTATCTTTTAACTATTGAAATTCTATTTCATCAGGGCTTGGACCTTTTCTAAGCCTTTTCTAAGTAACTTCCAATATTGCTCCTGCTGTTGACTCTGGGACTAGGACATTAATCCAGCCATAATCTGAAAGATCTGCAGTTTCCCAGAGACCACTGACTGTAAGGGCCGCTAGGAGCCTTTGGTTGGAGAAAGGGAGAAGGTCCAGGCACTGCACCTATGAAGCAGCATAGGCAGCGGGTAACAGTGACAGAGGTTGCTCACCTGGTGGTAGGAAGAGCGTGGCCCGCACCCTGCCCTCGTGCACCGGCACCCGCCGCACCCCGGGCGGCAGGAAGTGGCGCTCGTGCAGCTCCCGGGCCAGCAGCCGCCCAGCGTCGGGCTCGTGGCCGTCCAGCACCTCCAGGTCCACCACGAAGGGCGTCTGCACGTCCCATTTCACTAGTCGCCAAAACGGCTTATCAGGCTCCATGGCCCAGATCAGCCCCATGGGCTCCAGGCCCGCGAAGCTGCCGCCCAGCGCGGGCGCGCGCTCCAGGTCCAGCTCGCCCTCCGCGTCCGCGCGGTAGCGCGCGTGGGCCTGGAAGAGCGCGCCCTTCTCATCGCGCAGGGACGCGCGCAGCGTGACCGGCTGCTCGGGGGCCAGGCCTTGCACAGCGATGTGCAGCGGCTCGTCCCAGCAGCAGCGGCCCGCGGGCTCCAGGATCAGTGTCGCAGCCATCCTCACCCGGGAGAAAGGGAAGGACGGCTGGGAGGACTCCTGACCCCGGCCTGGCCTCTCTAGGCGTCGCGGAAAGGAAGTCGCCACTGAACCCTTCGCATATTCTATTGGTTGCAATCCGCTGTGCGGGGCCCCCTAGTGTTTGTAGGGTACAGGAGTTGCCCTGGATGGCGATAAGTAATGCTAAGAGTAATGATTAATCCTGCTTTCCAGCGTGGTGAGGTCGAAATACGGGTAGAAGGACTGATTGGAAGGCATACAGTTCCAAAATTCTCCATTTTGCAAAGACATCCCAGGTAACTAACTCAGGTGATTTGTGAGCAACACGGCCCTGATCCCTCCTGCGTCCAGAACAGTTTGATGATTATACAGATTGCCTGGGGTCCTGTCTGACTGCCCTCTAGTGTGGATCTTTAGTAAGGTAGGCGATGAAGTCTCTGAATCTAGTTTCCTCATTTGAAAAGATATGTGGGGGCAATTAAATGAGCTAACATGTAAGAACACTATGGCTTCAGTAGAAAGAGTACATATCCACTTGCAGATACAGTCACGGGCAGTATTAGTTTCAGAATTCAGTTAGAAAATAAGTAGTCCATGTAAACTGGACATCAGAGAAGCTTTTCATAAAATTACTAATTACAAAAGCATAGATAACATTGGAAGAAGGAAGGAAGGAAGGCTCCGAAGGGAGGGAGGGAGGAAGAAAGTAAGCAAGAGAGCTGGGAATATGTTCACTGGTAGAGCATCTACCTAGCATTTAGGAGGCCTCTACTTTCGTTTTTCTATATTCTAGCACTACAATATCTTGCCAATGGCCTGTCTTAGTCTAAATCCAACCATACAGCTCAGGACACCTGTCATTTGTGACAGATTATGTCATTAAATTATTATCTTATAAAAAGTTATCAAGTTAGACCCCAGCTCTGAGATTTCATTGACCTTTTCCCCATTTCACCTAATGAAGTAATCACTGCTGCAAATTTTGAAATACAGTATTATAGGCTGTCACCCAATCTGGGAATCCTCTGCCTGCAGAGAATTTCCTGGTCTGCTGCAATCTCCAACACATAAATTGAAATGGACACTCAGATTTCAGAAAGGCAGCTCCTGCCTCCCTTTCCCTGATGCCCAGGTTGCTATGGAGACACACGGAGTAGCTCTTTGACACAGGAGGGAAAAGCAGCTAAGGAGGTAACCTGCCCTGCATAGGACATTCAGAGCCCCTTCCTCTGGGGAGTTCTCTCTTGGGAGCTCAAATGAAAAAGTAGGTGGTGTCCAGGCCAGCTGTCAGGAGGGCCGGGATCCACAGAGAATTAGTAGCCATAGAAAGTGCTCTGTCCCCGTGAGAGGAGGGTGGCCCCACACAATGGCCAGTGTTGTCCAGTGACTTGAAGCCTGAACCTCATACCCAGATCTATAACATGCTGTCTCCAGAATTAGACCACATATTAGTATGAGACCCTCATTGCTAGACAAACTCCCTTCCCCTCTTTAGAGCAGAATTTCCTCGTTATCCAGATATGACACTCCTAGAAGTTTTCTCTCTGAGAGGGTCCCTTAGCTTTTCCATGGTGAACAGCCACTGGTTTGAGTTAAGCATTCAGTATGGAAAGTCTGAGCTGCAGAAGCAGTGGCTCTTAGGTCAGCCCCAAACTTTCTTGTCCAAAGCATCTGGATTGAGGTCGACAGTTACTGTTGAGGAAATTGATATTTTAATGTGTTATTGGAGTCATACATCTCTCCCTTTGAGGGCCCTCATCCTTAGTCTTTAAAAGAAGATTCCTAACTTTCAAGGAGATTAGGTTAAATTGCAAAGTGGTTTTCAAAAAAGCTGTACCATTATACCGTGAAGATAATGAGTACTTTCCAGGTCTGAATTGGCTCTAGCTTACTGGTTGAAGCCTTATTTCCACAGATCATGGTAAATGTTAGAGTACTGAAAGTTCCTGAAGCAAGATTGAAGAGGCATCACTTGCTGTCAAGTGAGGCAAACTGCTCTCGATGTCTAGAAATGCATTGAAGCTGAAAAGAGTGCTCTAGTAAGCTCAATAAATGTGTTCACTAAAAATCATGGGAGACCATACTTTGGGCCCCAATAGACCAGACTAAAAATCAAAATAGAGTTACACATGCTAAATACCAAATAGCCAACCCGAACTAATTATGTTTGGATTTTGAAATTAAAAATAAAGCCAATTAAGATCTTTAAAATAAATTGCAATTTTGTCCATTGACAAAGCATAACAACATCAGGGGTGATTTTGAGAGATACTCCTATAGATATACAGTGCCACCCATTGGTAACTCAATTTCATTTCATTGTCTTTGATTCTCAGTTAACATCTGAAATCCATCTTCATTTCTGAGAATCCAAGTGAGAGTAAAGGGAGAAAAATTCAAGGTGGGGCAGATTCCCAGTTGTTTCAGCCTCAAATGTGGTCTCACTCAGATCATGGGCCTGTTCCTATTTCATACCTATCGTTATGGTAGGACAACAGAGCGCCGCGTGTTTCCATTTTTACAGTCTAACAACCTTTCGAATAAACAAGATACAATACCTTAATTTCAATAATACTGTCATGTCAATAGCGTTTAGTCAATGATAATTACTGATCTTGATATTTTTGCTATGATCTGTAAGATGCTAACATTAGGGGAAGTTTGATGAAGTGTGTATGAACTCTAACAATTTTTTTGCTTGAGAGATTTGTGTAAGTATAAAATCATTTCAAAGTAAAAAGTTTAGAAAAGGAGTAACAAAACACAACAATCTTTGGGAGTAATGAAACCACCAGAGAGGATCTTTGGCTCCCTGTGTCCTCCTCAGATCCCTCCTCTTTCATATCCTCAAACACAAGCTTAAGGTTTCCAGGAATTATCTTAAATTTCCAGGAATTATGCATAATCTATGATCTTGTGTAAAATCCCCTGATTTCTTGATTGTTTTCTTGTTCAAAGCATCTGGATTGAGGTAGACAGTTACTGTTGAGGAAACTGATATTTTAACAAGTCATTGGGGTCACATGTCTCTCCCTTTGAAGGCCATCATCCTTAGTCTTTAAAAGATGGTTCCTAACATGCAGGGAGATTATGTTAAATGGCAGACAGGGTTTTCAAAAAAGCCACTAGCTGTCAAGTACAAAGAGAGCTTCATCATTATCCTGGTGAGCCCTTTCTTGATTCACTTCCCAAAACCTTGAACTCTGTGAGTTACTTACTTGCATACTTGCCAAGACCTTTGCCCTAGTTTCAACTCACTAGAACATTTAAGAGATTAAATTTTTCGGGAGCTGTATTGATTACTTATGTAATTCTATTAGATAATCAGTAAACATGGCCAGACTCCTTGGCCAAACAACCATTACTTAAACAGAATGACCCAAGGGCTAGAAATATAATCAATCAAAAAAAATATATGAAAAAGTTTTCAACATCTCTAGCAATTAGAGAAATGCAAATCAAAACTACTCTTAAGATTTCATCACACTCCAGACAGAATGGCAATTATCAAGAATACAAGCAACAATAAATGCTGGCGAGGATGTGGGGGAAAAGGTAAACTCTTAACATTGCTAGTGGGACTGCAAATTTGGTGCAATCATTAAGGAAAGCAGTATGGAGATTCCTCAGAAAACTTGGAATAGAACCACCAAATGACTCCTCAGTTTATACCTAAAGGACTTAAAACCAGCATACTGCAGTGGCATAGCCACATCAATGTTTATAGCAGCTCAATTCACAATAGCTAAACTATGGAACCAATCTAGATGCCCTTAACAGATGAATAGATAAAGAAAACATGGTATATATACACACAATGGAATATCACTCAGCCACCAAGAAGAATGAAATTATGGCATTTGCAGGTAAATGGGTGGAGCTGGAGAATATCAGGCTAAGCGAAATAAGCCAATTCCAAAAAACCAAAGGCCGAATGTTTCTCTGATATGTGGATGCTAATTCAAAATGGCGGGGGTGGGGGGTGCTAAGGAAGAGTAGAGGTACTTTGGATTAGGCAGAGGGGAGTGAAGGGAAGGAGAGGGTATAGGAGTAGGAACAACAGTAGAATGAATCAGACATTATTACCCTATGTGCATAGATTACTGCACAACCAATGGAACTTTATTACATCATGTACAACCAGAAGACTGAGAAGTTATGCTCCATTTATGTATGATGTGTCAAAATGCATTCTACAGTCATGTATAACTAATTAGAACAAATTTTAAAAATAAAATTCCCTGGGTTCAATTGGTGTACCACAAAACAAACAAACAAACAAAAAAACGTTATTTGTGAACTCTCTGACTCTTCACTGCCAACGTCATACATTCTCTTTAATAGCTCTGTCTCTAACATTTGAATGGGAGGATTTAAGTCTTTGGGGAATTTAGGAATGTCAATTTCTTTTATATTTTAGGAAAAGTAGATCATTTTAGCAGTTCTTTTTCTCCAATTCGCCATAATTAGGGTCATGGAAGTCCCCATCCTCATCAAACACAGAAACAGAGCATCTGACTCTTGTAATGTCACATATAAGAAAGTGTCCTCCTTGTAAGATCCTCTCTTCCTAAATTGAGACTGATCAATTCCTGCCTTTATTCTAGAATTCGTTATCCTAAAATGGGATAATTAAATACTTCCCCTGCTTTGTTAGTGTTCAGCATTTTCCCTTAACAGTTGAATTGTTGCTAAATGTTCGAAAGTGTAATTCAGGATCACTCCCCACCACCGTTTCTTTAGATTTGTCTGCAGCTGGGTTCCCTGACTGTTGCCTCTGTCCCTTGCCATGAGTCACTCCTTCATTTACTCCTTCATGCACGCCTTCATATGCCTCCTGGGGAAGACATCCAGTTTCAGCTCCCCGCCCCACACACACTGTCATCAGTGAAAGGGACTTCTTTTATCTTCTTACAAGGAAATCGCAAAGTAGAAAGTATCAGTGAGAGATTCTCCAAAAAATAATGATATTTATTTGGAATCGAATGGCATTAGAATGGGAATCCTCATGCCATAGTTTACTACGAGTGTTTCCACTATGTTGGGGCAAGTGGATCTTTTTAAAAGAAAAAATGAGAAGGATTTCATAAGAGATTTTGAAACAATAATCTTTGGCCAGTAGGACTAATAACAAGGATTGAGTCTTTCTAATGTTGCACAGACAACAGGTGGGCTCAGTTGTTCCAGAATTATAGTTTGGTGTATGTTGCATTGGCCTTTGTGCAAGGTTATGATTCTGGCAGAGTCTTCTTTGAGAGTATCAGGCAATTATGTGTGACACCCCTTCTTTTATAACCTCCTTGATTTGTTTATTTAGTTAGGGTCGACATAAGTAATGCCTGATTCGATTTTGAGATCTTCCACATTTCCCCCTTTTGATCAAGAACATTTCTCTGAAAACATTCCTGATTTACCATCCTGTAGTTAAGTTTGATTGGCCTTCATTGCCAGGATGGACCCATCATAGATGTTGGTCTGGTCTGGTCCCACATCAGGGGGAACCGATTGGCAACTTTTACTCACTTTTGAGTAAAAAGGAGGTTTAGAAGGAGTGGTTTTTGAGACTCTATTTATTTAGATTTCATTGTTTATCTGTTCTGTATGTAGATGATGGCTTTTGTATCAAAGTGCTGAGCCAGGAGTTATACTTCTACAGAAATTGAATAGGTATGAAGTTGAAAAAGGACAAAAGAAAACAAAACCAAGAACATAAAGGGTCCACTTTGCTGAATAGTTTTGAATCAAGAACCCAGTGATGACATTTATGAAAAGAAAAAAGAAATCACCAAGGGAACAAGGTGAGTCCTGTTGTAATCACAGAGGCTGTTCTCTTATTTTATGTAGTTTAGTTTTAATTTCTCAGATCCAGCATGTATTTTTAGCAATAACACACACATTTTCTTTCTTAGCCATTAAAAAATATGGAGTAATATTATCATTTGTTATTCCACGATTAGGTTCAATCAAGAGTGATATAAAAAAAAAGGAGGAAAGCTTGTATAATTTGAACCAAAAAAAAGGCATTAAAGAAGTTGCCAAAGTTACCCACTGTTCTTTCAACATATCTGCAATGACTATTGACTGTGAGATTTTAACTACATCATTATCCTCCCACATGCAAAAAAGGAAAAAAAAAACTAAGAGGGGCAAGAGGCTCATTATAATGTTGAGTCTGTTCTTACATCAATTTCTCATCCGGTTTGCAGTTTTAATATCTGTGTTTATGACATTGGGCAGTTTGGTAAAACTGTGGCCCACATTTCAGGTATGAGTCTGTCCCTTGAAATTTACTTCACGTTATCAGCTCTGGTTTATAGGACTTTAGGAAAGAGCAATTTTTGTTCCTAACAATATCATTGCAGAAAAGAGGATTGGAGGAATCTGGAAGAATTTAGGATCTAATCTGTTAGGCAGATAACTTAAAAACCTCACAAACAATGATCAGAGCTATAATGGACAGGTATGTTATAGTTCTTCTTTAGAATCATAAGTGTTATCTCTATAATCACACCCATTTTTACCAAAGGCAGTCAAAGAAAAAACAACTTACTTATACAATGAGTTTTGTTTGATCAGATGTGGCTTAACTGTTTACACATATGCAACAGGAAAAGATATTTCCCATATAGTAATATCAAATTTATAAAATTCTCCAGGCCACTGGGTTCAGTGGTGCACTCCTATGATCCCAGCTACTTAGGAGGCTGAGACAGGAGGATTGCAAGTTCAAGGACAGCCTGGACAACTTAGCAAGACCCTGTCTAAAAAAAAATGAAAAGGGCTGGGAATGTAGCTCAAAGATAGAGCACCCGGGGGTCCAATCCCCATTACTACCTGCCCTCTACCAATTCTCCCAGGTAGTTTGCCAAACCAAGGTAGACTTTAGATTTTCACCTACTGCACCTAAAATAACTTGAGATTCCAGAACCCCCTTGGGAGTGACAGTTTTTATTGGAAATCCTTGAAGGCAAGTATTATATGCATATTTTCAAGTATGCCAATATTTCAGATTGTGTCCTGCACATAGAATCTGTTTTTTATGCAACTTATGCATTGATCATATTACCACAGAAATGTAAATTACAAGTAGCTTTTGAATATTGGAGGAATCAAGTGGGAGAAAAGTAAATGCTTCCATCTTTGTTTATAAAAGTATATTTTGGGATATTGTTGTAAATGATAGCTTAAGAAAGAAGTTTTGTTAAATGTAGGAAACAAAAACATTTAAGAGCCAATTATATTTTTTTAAATAAGAGAGGAAACAAAACCCTAAATTATATCAGCTCATTCAGTCTCTTTTAATTCTTGCTTTGTTGACCCTCTAATAGCAGTTCCATGAGCCCATCTGTTGCTTCCTTAGAGTTCTGGAATTTTTATTTAGTTCATTAAGCTTAGTGCTATTATAAAATTGTATTCAAGAGAACTTGTTAGAGTCTCTTCCATCCATTTGATTGCAAATGCTTTCCATACAATATGATATACCCAATAAGCCTAATCACTTTATTATCTTTACAATAATATCCAACTGCAAAATCCAGAAACCAAAAAGACCTAATCTAGAACTTTAACCCTAAGGAAGCCTGCCAAATATGTCAAAGGTTGAATACATTTGATCAAAATAAATCACACATCATAGTGAAATAATGGTCATTCATTTAACTAGAATGTCTTAACTGGAGTTACAAAATGATTTAAAGACTTTAAAAACAAATAAATGTTTTTTTTTAAAGATACTTCCTTTAAGCTTCATTTTTTCCCAAGCAATCAAAACCTAATAAAAACAGCAGGCAAAAAACAAATTATTGTCACAAAACTCACCTATGTTTACCAAGCCAGTTACCAGAAAGTAAAGAAAAACTTCTTGCTGTGTCATTGTTTCTGCTTATATGAGGCCCGTTCACCTACCTGGAAGTGAAACCTGATGAAAACATACTTTTTTTTTTTTTTGACGGTTGCAAAAATTTATTTAACAAAAAGTTTATTATGAACCCCTACATGACCCAATTTTTGCGTCATAGTAAAACAGGACCTTTGCAGAGGTGACATGTATTTCTCTGCTGAACTGCTATGAATTATACTGCCAAGCATTCTAACAGGATACCTTTTCTCTAGATGACACCATTCCAATATTCTGTCTTGCACTCATTGCCACATTCACTCATATGTTTGTCTTACACAAGCTTCAAAAAGGTATCAAATCCCTGCAAGGCTCCTTGGACATGGCTGCCACTATTTAATTTCTTTCTTTCTTTTCTTTTTTTTTTTTTTTTTGGTAACAGGGAGTGAACTACTCAGGGTCACTCGACTACTAAGCCACATCCCCAGCCTTCTTTTTTTTTTTTTTTTATTTAGAGACAGGATCTCACTGAGTTGCTTCTGCCTCGCTTTTTTGCTGAGGCTGGCTTTGAACTCAAAATCCTAATGCCTCAGCATCCCATTAGGGTTAGGGTTAGGGTTAGGGTTAGGGTTATCCCATTCCTTGGCTTATATCCAAAGGACTTAAGATCAGCATACTACAGTGATGCAGCCAGATCAATGTTTATAGCAACTCAATTCACAATAGTGAAGCATGGAACCAACCTAGGTGCCCTTCAACAGATGAATAGATAAAGAAAATGTGGTATATATACCAAATTATATTACAAAAATATAATTTGGAATGGAATATTACTCAGCCATAAAGAAAAATGAAATTATGGCATTTGCAGGTAAATGGATGGAACAGAGACTATCATACTAAGTGAAATAAGACTGTCCCAAAAAACCAAAGGTCAAATGTTCTCTCTGATATGTGGATGCTAATCCATAAGAAGGGAGGACAGGGAGGGGAAGTATAGAAATTCATTGGATTGGACAAAGGGGAGAAAAGGGAAGGGATGCAGTATGGGAATAGGAAGGACAGTGGAATGGATCAGACTTAACTTGCCTATACTCATATAAGTATACATGACCATTGTAACTCCACATTGTGTTCAACCACAAGAATGAGATCAAACTTGGAATGAGTTGCACCTCATGTATGTCAAAATACACTATACTGTCATGTATATCTAAAAACAAATTTTTTTAAAAAAGTCATCAACTAATATAAATTGTACTATAGAAAAAGCTATAGAACTCAAAAGAAGCTGAAAGAAAAAAACAGATATCAGAATTAACAATCAAAACCTCTTGCAAATTTGTTATAATGGAAGACAAATATTTCAAGAAAACCTTGTTGCTTCAGACATAGAGACTTAGATTCTGGTCTTATATCAGTGTATTAGTGTCCATTGTTTAGAAAAACCTACAAATAATTTTCCTATAATTGTAGCCAAATTGATCACACAGATTTTTCTTTTCATTAAATTGTCCTTCATATACCTTTTGTGACTCCCTCAGATAACTGACAACTATTTAAACCTTTGATTTTACCTGTATTTCTCTTTTCCCATTCTTGAACAATCTAGTATTCTACTCTAGGACAAAAATTTTTCTATCACACTAAATTATTTTTCATATAAAAACTTTCTCTTTTCACAAATTAGAAGATTTATTAAAATAAACTAAAAGGTCTTTAAAATAAGTTCAAAAGAAATTAAAAGAAAAAAATTTTCTAGGTATTGAAATTAGAAATTGATTTTGAAAGATTTTTTGCATTTATTTTCTTGGATATTTTTCTGGCCAACATGGCAGAAAAAGTAATTTTAAAAAAATTCTATAGACAGAGAGATCTTTTATTATTACTCTAAGATTTTGATGAAGTCATAAAGGTAATTTTGGGAAAACAAAAACAAAACAAAACAGAACCGCTTTGTCACCCTAAGCCATTATTAATCAAGAAAAAGCTATAGAACTCAAAAAGGATGACTCTTAGAGTCTAGGATACCATCCATACAGCTTGCTAGGAGTTGTGAAACCATTAATTTGAAAATTATTTCCTTTTCTTGTGTTGGTTGAAATGCTAAAGAAAAACTTTCAAGCAGTCTTTGTTCTATTTTATTTCAATTTCTCATTACTTCAACATAAATGAAAAAGTCAACATTAAATAGGGAGGGAAAAATAGTGATAAAGAGCTAAAAATGTCATAGGAAAGCAGGGAGCTGTAACTCCAAACCTTGGTTCTGTGTTCCAGCAAAAGAAAATTCAAAGTCAGACACCAAAAGCCATGCAAGGGAACTTTATTATAAGTGGAAATAAAGAGAAAGTGAGGAGAAAGTGAAATAAGAGCAAAGTGAGGCTCGAGCACAGAGCACTCTCAGTACAGAGTGAACTGTCTCTAAGCAGGGAAGGAACGGCAAAGCAAACAATGCTGTCTCCAAATTTATTACTTTTGATGATTAGCAGGAGAACTGGGCTCTTCCTTCAGCAGCTTTCTCCAATCAGGTGTTCGACTCCTCCATCCAGCAGTGGAGTTTTGACCTTAGTTGGTCCTCTCCAGAACTGTCATGGTGGCCATCCTATTTGAGGGAGCTTCATCTATAAGCCAATCCATATTAACATGGGCACTGAGGTCAGTGGCTGGTCAGAAGTCACCTTAATGTGCCTGTGCTACTAAAGGAATCTTCCTTCCCAGACATGTGGAGACACTTTAAACCAACCTCAATGAGCCCTGTCAAGAGTTCATCCCATTAATCCTTTTCTTTTGACATATTTTACTATTAGCTCCTTTGCTTCTGTTTATTTTCTACAAATTAACAGCCACCCTTTGCTTTCTCATCTATTTTGAAAGTAGTTTAAAGAAGACCCTAAAGCAACTAAAAGAATGCTTGTGACCTTGCCATGCATTTCTCTGCTCATTGCTAGCTACTATCTAACAAAAAGATTTTTCATATTAACCCCATAATTGCAGTTTGAGAATTACCATTTTGCATGGATTAAAAAAATAATAATAATGCACTTGAGAAGGGACCATAATATAGCTGGCTGGAGTCCCAAAGAGGAAACTTCTTTGCATGTTTTAGAATTTAGGTGTCCCATTTTTGTTTTTTATCCTCTCAAGAGTAAAGAAAATCCTATAAGCACTGTCAGGGAATTGAAAGGGCGTAGGCAAACATTTTGCTTGTTGGACAGATTTTTCCCTTGTTTGCCTACCCTGACCAAGGTTGTCCCTATTTGCACAAAGACTGTATGACAGGTCCCTAAGGACAATCTTGCTTTCCTATGACTAGGGAATCATCACAAAGGAGTGTTTATCTTCAGATATTAGAATTTCTCAGAAATGGTGGCAGCTGCCTAGTGGCTTTGAATTCTATACCTCATGTGCACCACTTAGAATGTTAATTTTTGCTCATAGAAGATTTTCAAAAATAAGTTGGGAGAAAAAATAATTAGTTAAAAGTCAAATAACTTATTTTAACATGTATAATACCCAAACCAAAATTAAAATGCTCACAGGACGATTTATTAATCATTTTTAGTTGTAGATGGACACAAAATTTTTATTTATTTTTATGTGGTGCTGAGGATTGAACCCAGGCCCTCATGTGTGCGATGCACAACCCAGCCCTCACAGGGTGATTTTAAATTAGGCCGGCAGATCAAACAAAATAAACCAAGTGTGCTGAACAAAAAGAGAACAACTAGAGAGATCTGAAATCTTCAAAAAATATAAATTCCTGGAAATTTGGGTACTCATCAAAACGATGTCCTTATGTGAAAATGGGCTTCGCAGTAAAGACAAGAAGAAAAAAATAATAAAAAATCTTTGTGGTTATTCCTCAAAGGGATACAAAGTCCTTTCTGTAAGGAAGCCTTATTCAAGCCAGATTACAAATAAAGTCAGCAGAGAGCCTCTACCAAAAAGAGTGGGGCTCAAGCTGAGAGAAGACTCACCAGGACAGAAAAAGACAAGATGTGGGAACAGAAAGACACATTTGATTTTGGTATCAAACCTGGTTCCTGAAGTCAGGAATCCCCTCCAAAAGTGGTCTTGGTTTAGTTCCCACTTCTGACACCAAATGTGTCAAATTAAGTAACAATCAGAGGTTCTCCAAAGAATAATGGTATTTATTTGTAATAGAATAGGATTGCAATGGAGCTATGTACTATGTACGTCACACTAAACTATTAGCACATTCAAAGAGGTTGAGGCAAGAGAAAGTTTTTAAAGGAAAAAATAAGGATTATCTAAGATATTTGAGACAATCCATGGCCAGAGGATATTAACAAGGTTAATGCTATGTATATACATATATATATACATACATACATATATATATTTTTAATTTTGAAATTGATTGCACCCAGGGGCCATCTACCACTGAGGTACACCTCCAACCTTTTTTTTGGACAGGGTCTCTTTAAACTGTTGAGGCTGTCATAGAATGTCCCATCCTCCTGGGCCACCATGGTCTGCCACTTTTCTTTACAATATCACCACTTAGATGCACCTTAAACAACATTTTGCTTTCTCTTGTGCCTTTTGAATTTTATCTAAATGCAAAGACACTGAATGTGTTCTCCTGGGATTTGATTTTTTTCACCTAACACTGGAAAAACATGCCTCCACCTATCTATCACTTCCACTGTTAGGGGACATTTGGGCTATTTCCAAACAATATGCCTCTGGGTGCACATGTACCAGAACAAGTAGAAAGCCATATTCAACTAGGTAATTGCAGAAAAATTCTTTCCCAGAGTAGCTGAACACTGTGACTGCTTCTGCTGTATATGTGAGTTTCTTTCCTCCAGGTACTTGGCAACAATTGGTCATGTCAGACTTCTAAATCATTGCTACTCTTGAGGCTGTGAGATATATTCTAGTTTTATTTTGCATCTCCTTCATTACTAATAAGGCTAAACATCATTTCATTTTTTTTCACTGACCAGTAACTTTATGTATATAAAAACTCCAAAAGTCTCCTTAGATTCCCAGCTACTAGGAAGTGAACTTTCTCTTATTGCAACTGCCAATTTACACAAATCTAAACATACTATGGAAATGGGAAACAAAAGTTGTAAAACTGAGAAACTTTTAAAAGAACATTGAAAAATTGAAACTACCTAAAGATGGCTTTAAAAAATTATTAATAGAAGTGTCTTTTCCCTTTCCTTATGAAAGCAAATAAAAAAGAAAGTAAAAGAAATGGAGACAGACCTCCACAGAGCAACAAGGCTTTACTAAGCACAAGAGCACGTTTTCAAGAAAGAAAATGGCAGCTGGTTACAATAGGGGTCTGGATTTTATAGGTTTAGTTAGATTAAATCACAGCAAAATGTTCTGGTTGGGCAGTCAAGGAAACAGTTGTAGAACGGGAAATTGTGAAAGTTGAGCCCATTGTTGCTGGGAAATTGTGAAAGTCCAGAGCCCATTGTTTTCCTTCTCTCCCAGGGACCCAGTGTCCTCCTTTTCTCCCTGGGGGTTATTCCTTTCCATATCCTTCATTCCAGACTCTGAGAGGGGATAATGAATAGCAGCATCAATATCCTGTCGGGCTGCTTCCTCCTGAAAAGGGGTGAATTAAGGGTACCACCCCGCCTTTTCAGAGTTCTAGAAGAGAATACAGAGATCCTGAAGTTGAGGCTGAAGAGGGGTGTGTATAGAAGGAGCTTCAAGGTCATCATAGGCAAAGTCTCCTTTCTGTGGTTTCGAGCGTCAAATTGTAAGCTCAGGAAGAAGATGGCTTTGATGGGTTCTTAGGAGGCAGTATGAGCTAAACAAGTCACCTTACTAAGAAGCTGTTTCTGTATCAAATTAAGAATACAGAGAAGGAGGCTGGGGCTAGGGCTCAGTGTAGCACACTTATCTGGCATGTGTGAGGCACTGGATTTGATTCTGAGCACCTTATACAAATAAAGGTCTATCAACAGCTAAACAAAATATTTAAAACATACAGAGAAGAAAGATTATTATGAGAAAAGTGAATATTAAGGGGGGGTATAAGAGGGAGTAGCCAGGAGTTGCATTGTTTTAGATCCCCCAATGAGAACTACAGGTAATCAGCTGTTCCTTGTCTCTGCTGTTTCAGGCAGTCCTGGGGCTGTTTAACCTTGGTTCTTTGCAATCCTGATGAGTTGACATAGAATCAGCATTCTTCCCCGACTGGTTTTGCAGAACTAGATGCCAAGGAGTCAAGGTCAGTACTGAGTCAGCAACCTGTTGGATGTCTTCAAAAACCTGTTTTGGTAACTTTTTATAGTAATGAATTTAGATTCCCAATCCTGCTGCTCCTGTGTCAATCCCAGCAGAAAATTTTAGCCTTATGAGGAAGGGAATAATTTGGAGGCCTGCCGCAGTCTGGCTGGGCACAAATCAGGAGCCACTGAAGCAGGAACAAACTTTATTTTTAAACTGCAGGAAAACACTTCACACAGCTCCCGGGGAATCCTCCCAAATGCCACGAGGCTTGTCCAGGAACCCCGCAGCTGGAAATATCTCTCCCGGAAATCCCTCCTCCTGCACTTCCCCAACCAATGGGAACTCTCGTGGAATCCCCGGAAATCCCCAGGAGAACTCCAAAATAGTGCGAGAACTCAAAAGTTGCCGCAGAGGCAGATAGTAATGCCTCGCCTGTCAATCAATACTGTTGGCAAAATGCCAGGGGCCATACAGACTCGGCCGTGGCTCTCAGCAATTCTTGGGAACTTGTGAGCAGCCTCTGAGTTCCTTTAGCACCATCTGCCAGGATGGGTCAGGGTCTCCTTGATTGTGAGGCTTCCCTTGGAAGCATCAGGGATATCAGGGATATCTCCTTCTCCCGTTACTTTCCTTTTTGCAACATGTGCACTAGTTGACTTTTTCATTCTCCAGGGTCTCATTAATTTCTCTGATTGGAAAGCCATGTGGCCCAGAGTCACAAAGCCCCTAGAGAAGTCCCTTTGTTCCCTGGCTTCAAGCTGACCTCAGAGGGCAAGAGCCAAATATTGGCTATTTTCTTTCTGGGCCTTTTTATTCCTTAAATTTAGTCTCCAAGTTTTGGTCTTAAATATCCAGCAAGCCAGTTTTATTAGTTTTAAAGTAAGAGTACTGGGTTTAACCTTTAATGTAGATGATAACCTATTATCTCAAATAAATCAGATTGTTATATTAGAAGTTGTATTTTTGTAAGACACAACAGATAATAGTTAAGATTTACAAGGAAAATACAAAATGAAGTATAATATCTATGAACTAAAAAAATATAATTTTTATTATACCAAACCTTTACTTTAAACTTTACTTTGAAGAGCACCATTTTGGTAAAAGTTCTTCTTAACCCATACTTTAAAGATTTGTAAAGTTGGAAGATATGAATACATTTAGAAAAATTCAGAATAGATAAGAGCAGATTAATGTTTTAAGAAATCCTTGTTACTTTAACCTGTAGGGGATTAAACTTTGGTTTATATCAGTACATTAATATTTGACCTTAGGAAAAAGCCTTCCCTGGCCTCACAATATCTTTCTTTGTATTTATTTGTACTTGGTGCTGAGGACTGAACCCAGCGCCTCACATGTGTGAGGCTAGCGCTTTATCACTGAGCTACAGCCCCAGCCCCCAATTACTCCTCTTAATGAGATGAAATGCTTTATGCTATTTACAGTACTTTAATTGAAACACAACTGAAACTTTTTGGACTCTTTGCATATAGAATTGCAACCTGTTAGAACTTTACCTCTTAATAACCTAGCTTTAGTGAAGACCCAGAAATAATCTTAAAAAAGCAATCTTAAACTCCTTTTTTATTTACCAATTTATAAAAACATATTTAATGTTTATATATTAACTTATGGAATTTAAGAATTCAAGAGTACATGATTTTATATTTAGTAGTTGATATTTTAGCACTTCAACTTTGTAAATGAATGAGATGTCTCCTCTAACAAACATATTTATGATTAATCCCATTGATGTTGATGTTAAATCTATTTACTCATTTTTACTATAAAAACCAAGACATCAGACAAGTGTAGTTAACAGTACTAGCTGTCTCTTCTCTATTGAAGAAAAATCCTAGAAACAATGAACATTACATTTTAGACATTTTGTAGAAAGCAACACTCTGTTAATTGTCTGACCACCTAGCAAAACTTGTGGGTTAGTAATTTTAAAGACATCTTCACACGAATTAAAAGGTATTTGGATCCATTTCTCTTTTAAATTTTGATTTTTGAGTGCTCTCTTATCTATATGCCCATTTTGATACCATGTACATGATATATGGACGCAAGCACAATGTAGACACAACAACACAATACACAGGTGTGCACACATACATAAAATAGAAAAAAGAGAACTTATAGCTGTTTATAGGTAGCTCTCTACAGGTATGAGGCAATGCTACAGATGTTATTAAAGCCTTTATTAGATTTAAACTGTTAGAAATTAAAATAGAGCTTATCAGACTTTCACATTATGACTTAAATACAGGAGTCTGTGCAGTTGGAAATGCTAGGTGTAAAGTGAACTGTAATTACTCTAGTAAAGAAGCATGCAGAACATCTTCGTCAGATCAGAATGCACTTGTGGCTCAGATTAGAGTCTGTTTAGATATTGGAAGAATGAGAGAGCTCTTAGGTAAAGATTCTCGGTAAAAAAGACATATATATGAGATAGTTCCATCTTCCTTCCCCCGCACTGTAGTGTTTAGGGAAGAACTTGTTAACAAAAGCAGTGTAATAGATAGCCATTTAGGTGCCACAAGCAGCTTGGATTTAAAAGTGACTTTTTTTTTTTTTCCTTTTGGTCTCAAACCAGTTTGGGGCAATAACCTCTGCAAGTTCTGCAAACCTTGGAGAAACAGAGATGTGGCAGAAGCTAAGAAGTAAGGGAAGCTGCTGTTGTGAGCCTGTTAGTGCTCTGGGTGATATCTCCACTAGAGAAAATAAGTAATTTGGATTCCTGAACTAGATAGATGAGGGGTAGTTTTACTCTAATAAAGGGACACAGATTTTTTTGGTCTTTTTCCTGCCAGATGAGGGGAGTACAGAAGAAAACATGTCTTGTGAGAGTTTAGAGAAGGTAGTCTGATTTTAAAGCTAAGACTAGGAGATATTTAGATTTTTCCTATAGGGGGCATTTGGGGGAAATCAAGTTTCCAACCAATGGCAGGAAGGGCTCCCCTAGTTTGGGGTGTGGGAAATGGGGGTGGTCTCACATTGGAGTTGGGATTAGCCTGAGACAGGTGGTACAGGACTGAGAAATTTGTTGGAGGTGCAGTAAATCTGAAAAGGAGAGGTTTGGGGGATTCTTTAGGAGTAGTTGAAGGGAGCAAAGATTGGATGGAACAGATTGTGAAAGTAGGATAACAGAGCTTTGGTTTCATCAGGAGTAAATTGGAGCTTTGTAGAAACAGAGTTTAAGACTGGATTAGGAGTTTGTGATGGTTGAGAGTGATGGCCAGAGAGAGCAACTTGTTGGTGGCCAAAGAGAGCAACTTGTTTGGTCAGTGTTAAGGATGGTTGTTCCTCTCTGAAGAAATTTTGCTCTCTCCAAATTAAGATGTTAGAGGGAATAATGTTATAGGTATATTTGGAATTAGTAAAAACGTTGATTGATTTGTCCCTAGCTAGTGATAAGGCTCAAATGAGGATCACTAGTAGCCTGTTGGGAAGTTGTGCCTGAGGGTGGAGGGGAGGCTTCAATTATTTGGGTTAGGTTGAAGGAAGAACTCACGGTAGTTTTACCTCAAATTATAGCATAGCCTGAAGGTAAAGGAGCTATTTTGGGGAGCTTCCATCTATGAACTGGTCTAGGGAGTCAGGAAGTGGTTGGTCTTTTATATGTAAAAAGGGTTCATTAAGAAGTCAAGGGGTCAGGACAGGAGTGAGAAACCACAGGGGCAGAAGAGTTTTTTGCTGGGAGAAGAGGGTTTTTCTCTTTGCAGGTTTAATGAGGATTCTTGCGGAAAGGTAGTCCAGGGAGGTGTACATGCAGTAATTAGATTCTGGCTTGGGGAAGGGAGAGGCACGAGCTATGACTGAATGCTGGGGTAACCAGCACCCTCATAGGGCAGATTCCTGCTCAGAGGTGTGAGCCACTTAGGAAAATAAAAGGTATGAAGTAATCAGTAAGAAATAAAGAAAGCCAGAATTTATATTGAAAAGAGGAGAGCCTGATGGGTCTTCCAGCCCTAATAGGAACTGGAACTGAACCACTGAAAAAGGCCCCAATCCTTTATTTAAGAGAAAGAATATCAAAGCTTTCAGCGTGGCCGGGATAAGGTTTCAGCGTGGCAGAGGTCTTTCAGTAAATAGGTTGTTGGGTGCTTCGCAGGTTACACCCATCTCCGGGCAGCTGGGTTTGATCCTGAGACTGTGAGCTGAGGCAGGGTACCAGCATCATCTGGGCTTTCTTCAACTGGGGAATTTCACTCAGGAGTTCCCAGAAAAGCAGCTTCCCTACCCTTATGGCTCAAACAAACCCATAATTTATACATAGCTCTCAACAACTGAGGAGATCTGAGAGGGAGTGTGTGGTAAGAACAGCGATGGGTTGACAGAAGGTAGATTTGTTGGCTTCAGAGATGAGGAGGGCTGCTTAGCTAAAACCTTGAGGCATTGGGGCCAGCCAGGATAGACGGAGTCTAGTTGTTTGCATAGGAAAGCAATGAAGCAGCGGATATTCCCTGACTTGTAGGGGACTCCCAGGGCTTGTACCTGGTATTCCCAGGAGGCCAGGGAATTAAGGAGGATTAGTGTGGTGTTTGAGTAGGGGGTTGGATGAGTGGGGAAAGAGACCCTGGGACCTGTAAGGAGGGCTTTATCAGCTATTTCTGGGGCAGTGAATGAGGAAGAGAGTTGTGAGTCAGCAGGATTAGTTGCAAGGCAGAGCAGGGCTGGCATAATGAGGGTTTTGAGTGAAGGTAAAAGAAAGATTGGCGGTAAGGAACCTCAGGCCATTTGTCATTTCATTGGAGGAAATTGTCTAAATCCTGGAGAATTTTTGGAACAAGGTCCCAAATTCCAATTGGGGCCATGGACAAGTGTTCTAATTTAGATTGTGGCCCAATAAGAGTTTTAAGCCTATTGAGGCATCTAGTTTTAAGGTACTTAAAATTATTTATGAGACAACCTATGGGGGAGTAGCCCTCATGTTGGAGAGGTTTGATCAGCATGGCGGATGAGATCAAAGCATCTGGTGATACCTCACATCACCAGTCATCAGTTCCAACAGAGAATGAAAGAACATCCCCTTCTACAATCTCAGTGGGGAGGGACCACTGGGGTCCAGATGAGTGAGGGTCTCAGACAAGGTACCTCTTCAAGAGACCAGAAAGAGATCTTATCTCTCTGAAGAATGAGAAGGCTGGTGTTGCATGCAGGAAGAAAATGGCAAAAAAGCAGCCTCTGATCTAGAGGTCTAAGTGTGTAAGAGAAGGGAGGAATTGGAGAGGATAGGATTAGAAGGAGGATGCCTCCAACACCAAGAAAGCACCCAATACAGGTCCTTGCTCCATCCATGTAGCAATGAGGCAGCAAAAACCTAGCCCAAGAGTGGGGTCTTTTTGGGTCACACACCAGCCATCATTTACCAAAGTGGAGTATGAAGGGTCTCCTTCTCTAAGGTGGAGAGAGAGAGAGAGAGAGAGAGAGAGAGAGAGAGAGAGAGAGAGAGAGAATGAATATGGGGGAGGGGCACACTCACAAGGATAGAGTCTGGGAATTCAGCCATGCTAGTTGTGGCTGGGAGCTTCCCCAAGCTCAGAGAGCCACAGAAGTGCTACATGATGAACAGTCACTTTGCAGGTCTCATCGCCCTTTAACATGACTGTTAGGAAAGAGAAAAATGGGAGAGAAATATGAAAAAGTTGTAGAGGTTTGTTAGGACTGGGATGAGTAAAGAGCCCTGAACTCTTTAAGACACAATGGTACAACTCCCTGCAACTGTACCTTTCTTAATCTTTCAGCTTCAGTGGTCTTTGTATTTCTCTTTTGAAACTTACCACATGGATCACCTGATTAGACATTGCTCTTAGCAGACATTCTTCCTTTCATTCAGAGAGCTGTTGAATTTGCACAATACCTTCCAAGTGCTGTGACCTTTAAGCCTGCCTACTTTGCAGAAACTTTCCTACAAATAACCTTTTGATACTAAAACCTACATAATAAACATGTTGTGCTAGCTCTGGGTCACTGTTCCTCCATCAGAGGAAGGTGTCCCACCTCTGACAGCTTTCTCTTTATAAATATCTGTTGTGTCTTCTTAATCCCCCATCACCTCTCACTGGTTTATAGGGTTCTGCTGTGCAAAATATGGCAAAAAAAAACCATTATCAGATCAGGACCCAGTTCTCCTAGTTCAGTGACCTTTCCCCCACTCTACCTAATGAAGCAACTGCAGCTACAGATTTTTAAACACATAATCTGCAAAGAACTGACCTGGGCGGCTGTAGCCACCAACACAGAAATTGAAATGGACACTCAGATTTCAGAAAGGCAGCTCCCGCCTCCCCTCCCTGATGCCCAGCTTGCTATGGAGACACACAGAGTGGCTCTTTGACACAGGAGGGAAAAGCAGCTGAAGAGGTGGCCTGCCCTGCATGGGCCATCCAGAACCCCTTCCTCTGGGGCCTTCTGTCCTGGGAGCTCCATGGAAGGAGTAGGTGGTGTCAGGCCAGCTGTCAGGGGTGCTGTGATCTGCAGAGAATCAGTAGCTGTAGAAAGTGCTCTGTCCCCGTGAGAGGAGGGTGGCCCCACGCAATGGCCAGTGCTGTCCCGTGACTTGAAGCCTGAGCCTCATACCTGGATCTGTGACATGGTAACTCTAGAATCAGACCATGTATTAGTTTCTGTGTCCCTAACAAAATGTGAGACCTTCTTCCTCTGTTTAGACAAACTCCCTTCCCCTATTTAGAGCAGAATTTCCTGGTTAACCAGATATGACGCTCCTGGAAGGTCTCTGAGAGGGTCCTACAGCTTTTCCATGGTGAACGGCCACTGGTTAGAGTTGGCTGTTCACCCTTCAGTTGGGTGAACTCTATCAGGTGCTATACTGGTGACGCCTGTAAATATCAAATCACCAGGAAGGATGCCAGGGACAGACCATGTTCTTCCCCGGGTCTGGGAAGGCAGGATCCCTGGCCTCTGAACAGGCAACCCAGCTTCCACACTAGCTCAGCCCACTCAGCCCCTCTCACCACCTCTGGGGCTCAGCTCAGGAGCCCCAGGTCATCCTCTTGTTCCTGTTTCACTCTAGTAGCTCCCTCTCACAGAGGGACTCTGTGGCTACCTCCTCCACTGCAGTCCAGCCCCTGGTCAGCTCGGCATTCTGCATCATCCTCCTGAGCTCCCTCAGACCACCCAGTGGTCTTCCTAGTGGGCCAACAGGCACTGCCAGGTCTGACTCACATTCCTTCCACTGGTCCGTGCCTGGCCTTGGAAGGTCACTGTCCCATCTGACTGTCAACCCCCATTCTGTTCAGCCAGGTCTGGCCTAGTCATGCCCACTGCCTTCCCTGTCCCTGGCCATCTGTTACCATTTCTGACTTCAGAGCTTTACTATGAGCCTCCAGGATTTGGGTGGCAGCAGGCCCTCTGGCTGGGAAGGAAGCCCTTCTGTCCATTACTAGTGTTTCTGGAATTTGTTTTCCCTCTAGTCTCTCCTCCCTCTACGAGGGGCTTCTCAACTGGGGTCAGAGTGCAAGTCCATCCAAGCATGCTATTTGGGGGCTGCAGGTTGGCTGGAAACCAGGGCCCCCCAACCCTGAGTATTGATCATAGCTTATGCCAGCCCCTCTGCCTGTCCCCTTCTTTTTAAGCCTCATGTCCCCTGGATGCTTGAAGATTTGCTCTTGATGGGCCACTCAGGAAGTGAGGAGATGGTTATTTAAAGAGAATTGCCTATTTATTTGACCCCCCCCCCAAAAAAAAAAAAAAATCCAGTTAATACATTCATGGGAAATAAACCTTGTTTGGACCTTGATTTATTTGCTAGAACTGAATATAGTAAAACTGAAATAATTGGAAAAAAAGAAAAGGGATAATTCCAAATGATGTTACTATTAACTCCATGGTTCTTGTGCTGTCTATCAGAAGAATCAGATGAGAGCATTGGCACAGGAGCAAGCTTAGTATGCAAAATGGAGGCAGCATGTGGGATCAGAAGTCCCAGGCTGACTCAATCAAAGGACAAAGATACACAGCTTTCATGGCAGCTAGTGGGTAGACAGGGAGGTGGTCTCTTGATATCAGCACATGTGGAGGTGGAGTTTGGGTTGTACCTGGACTCTTTTTCATGATACTTCTTCATGCAACACTTATATCATTACTATCTGAAATTTCCACACTGGAGTGTGATTTGTACAATGAAAATAAAGTAAAGGTAACTTTAGATTATACATGTCTTGGACCTTAACACCTAGAATGTTCTAATATTATTAGGTCAGATGATTATCTTGTCTTAGTTTTTTTTGTTGTTGTTGTTGTTTGTTTTTAACCCAGGGGTACTCTACCACTGAAATACATCCCCAGTTTGTTTTTTGAGACAGATTCTCACTAAATTACTCAAGTTGGCAAGGAACTTTCAATCCTTCTACTTCAGGCTCCTGAGTAGCTGGAATCCCTACATGCACAGCCATGCCGAGCAGCAGGTTTGCCTTGTTTCTCCTTGTTCTGCCTTCTTGGTAGCTCTGCTGACCACATACTCTCTCAAGGCCAAGCTGACTTTCCAATCTCCCATCTCCAGGGGTATTATCTTCACAGCCTTGAAGACTGGCCCACTTGTTAACCCCCATAGATGAAGGGCTTGTTTAGCTGTCTCACTCCCTGCTGAGAGATTTTATCTTCCTTAATCTTAGAGGATCATGCGAGCAGGGCCCCTCTGGTTTGGGTGCTGTCCTGCATGTTCCTGGAGGAATGAGAATCTCTCACTCTCGGGTTTAAAGAGGTGCAGAAGAAGATGGGTTAACAGACAAATGATAGTTGTCAGGGGATAGTGCTTGGAAACCCTGCATGGACATTAGCTGGATTTGAAATTGCTTTAGCCTGGAAGATTCATATTTATATTAGCAGGTAAAATAAACTAGGGAAAAAAAATAAGAAGTGTCAAAAGAACTAAAATTGAGAGCAAAGGGCTGAGTAAGGGCCAGGACCCTCCAAACCAGTCTTGAAAAATTTGAGGGCTGGGGATGTGGCTCAAGCGGTAGCGCACTCGCCTCGAATGCGTGCGGCCCAGGTTCGATCCTCAGCACCACATACAAACAAAGATGTTGTGCCCGCCTAAAACTAAAAAATAAATAAATATATATATATATATATATATATATATATATATATATATATAAAAATATATATATATAAAGATTCTTAAAAAAAAAGAAAAAGAAAAATCTGAGATAACAGACCACCCCATGGCCATGCCTGTTTTGTTTTCATTTTTTCCAAGATGGCAATGTTTCTTTTAAGACTTTGATGTTTTCATTATTTTCCTAGAGGTATTAATGTAGAAGCAACCATCTTCCCCAAGAAGGGCATAGGTTCCCCTGGTTTCTGCAATCAGATAGTTGAGGATCATGGCCTAAAAAAGCAAAATAAGTCACATGGGAGCTAAAAAGTAGAAACCAGGTGACCTCTGGCAAAGCCCTTTTAACAGTATTGTAATCATCCTGGGCAGGGATAGCTGGACTCTATGGTTGGAGCCAGGTTGTTTTTTTAAGCCTAGGGTTTTTTGTTGTTGTTGTTGTTTGTTTGTTTTCTTTTATGATTTCGCTGGTGTTAGCATAAAAACAACACAATGTCTATCATTGTTTCTTGACAATCAAAATAGATTTATTACCTTAAAAAGCGGCTGCATATTTCAGTCTAAATTAAAAGTACCATTATAAACCGTAAAACAACATAAAAAGAAGTCAAAGCCCCATAAATCATGCAGTGGCTCCTTTCTCTTTTTTAATGACTCCATGAGCAAGGACCACTGGAAGAAAACATATTTAGGGTCAATGAGAATAATTTTTTTAACCTAATTAAAGGACTCTTTCATTCCAGTACTCATGTCTTCTGTTGCTCTCATAGAAACACCAACCTCAAAAATGACTATATAACCAGTTCTTTCCAAACCAGACTTTTACCACGGACCAATAGACTGACCCAAAACTTTCCTAAAAGACAAACCCAAACTGCTTGCTCCACATCACTCCCTCTCAGCCTGAAGCAGCCAAAGCAGTCATCCCCTGTTTCCCCTTATAGCAGTAAGGGTTCCCTTAATCAGACGGGGGAATGAGACCAGAATCAGAAGAGGCTATGATAATAAACTCAAAGCTAAGTTAAATACACTAGAGGGTATTGTAATGGCCTTGGGTGATCAGATACAAAGTCTTAATGTCAGACAACCATTACAATATCATGTCACTTATTACCTATTCTATATGATAGCTTCCAATGGGATTAAAAAAAAGATAAAGATGCATCTATTAGGAATTTGGAATCATAACAATGTTAGTTTAGATCTCTTATAACTGCACGATTACCTCTAAGCTACACAGGAAAGTAGAATTCCCATTTTATCACTTCCAGTTTTGCAAAAAAGGTATTAAATGATGTAAATGCTTTCAATTCTTAAAATATGCTAAAACATACTGCATGGTATCTCATAGGGTTTGCTTTCTTACTCTTAATTCTGTTGTTTTGTCCCAGGCAAGCTCATCCAATCCCAGTTCAAACACCTCTGAGGAGACATGCATGAGTTGCAGTTAAAAAATAAAAAAGGGAGAGACATGGAGAGTGAATGAGCCCTGGTTATTGGCTGACCCTGCAGTGTAGGCAAAAGCCAAGCCTGGGAAATAGTCCCTGCCAAAAGGTGAGGATGTGAACAACCTTGATAGTCAGCTCTGACATCAATAGTTATCACATGTTCTAGTATAGTGGGTTTTCTGGGTACAGCAGGATAGCAGCAGGAAGTTCCTAACACTGTAACAGCAAGATAACCACAAAAATGTTTCTAGCTCTGTAACTTTTTAGTACACAAAGAAGCCTCTTCATAACTCACAAACCTTGAACAATTTACAAAGCTTCTGTAGTTAAACTTCCTGATAATGAGACCCTACATAATAAACATGATGAGCTAGTTCTGTGTTACTATTCCTCCATCAGAGGGCAGTGTCCCACCTGGCCCCAGCCTTGCTTATAATGTTTGTGTTTTTCTGAATCTCCTATGGCCCCTAATCAAGATCCTTTTTTGTTGCTGTGTGGGCAGTATCTTAAGAAATGAAGGAAACAATTGCTTTGTCTGTAAGTCCAATTTTTTCTTTTTTTTAAAATATTATTTTAGTTGTTGATGGACTTTTATTTAATTCATTTATTTATATGTGGTGCTGAGAATTGAACCCAGTGCCTCACACATGTTAGGCAAGCACTCTACCATTGAGCCCCAGCCCCAGCCCCAGCCCCTGTAATGGTCCAATTTTTAATTTAATAAATGTGTATATACTTATGGTTCCCTTTTCATTTCTGATATCATTTTTTGGATAGGCACTTTTTTTTTTTTTTTGAGGTATTGAGGATTAAACCCAGGGCCTTGTACATGCTAGGCAAGTGCTCTACCATTGAGCTACAACCCCAGCCCTTGGATAGACACTATTTTGAATAGTAATATTTAAAGAGAACAGTATGCAACTTAGAGGAGTTATTTCCTCTAATCACATGAACTAATCTTAACTGGTGTTCTTAGAATATACTTAAGTCTTATCTTCCAAACCTTCAGATAATTGGTTAAATTTTTGGAAGAGCCCTCCTTAACTCTCACCACCCAGGTATTTGTGAAAGAAAGTCTGGAGTTGTTCCCACACATCCAGCTGGGCCCTGGCATGAGCCCTGGGCTCCCCTCCATAAACGATAGGACCACCTGCCAAGATATGCAGGGCAGCCCTGCACAGGGGCCAGTAAGGGGGCTCAATGTAGTGCCCTGCTTCTGGGTAACAGATGATCTGGGGCTTCTCTTTTCCATGGGCCTGCAAGCGTTTAGAGGCCTCATTAGCATAGAACTCGCTCTTCCAGTTGTGGTCATCCTGACCCACAAGGAACAGGAAGGTGGTGTCAGACTTCTCCACGGGAATAAAGCTCTTCTGGTCTTCCAAAGGACTTTTCAGGGCTTCCACAACGTCCTTGATGCCATCTTTGGTCACCTTGATTCGATCTCTCATGATACCCACAGGGGGCAGCGTCTCGTCCTTGTAGTGTATGCTTGCCCCAACAACAGCCACAGAGCCATTGATTATGACTGCAGCCGTGATGCCCTTCAGGAAAGAGGATATGGCAAGGCAGAGTTCTCCTCCTTTGGAATTCCCAAGCAGCCCAATCCCTGGACCCTTTACCTGAAAATGGGACAGAAGAATAAGAAGAGTGAATTTACCAACAGTGTAATAGAGTGAACAGTGCCCACAGGGGAAATTGGGTGGATCTGAGCCTGAATCTAGCTCTATCTATTCTCCAGATTGTAACTGTTTCCACTACACATATATCATTTTGTTTGTTATTATAATAATTATTATTATTGTTATTATTATTATTTTGATATTGCAACTGTTTCCACTACACCATGTATCATTTTGTTTTTTGTTATTATAATAATAATTATTATTGTTATTATTATTATTTTGATACTAAGGTTCATCCCAGGGGCACTTTACCACTGAGCTACATCCACAACCCTTTCTTGTTTTGACACAGGGTCTCTTAAAGTTGCTTAGGGCCTCACTAAGCTGCTGAGGCTGGCCTCAAACTTGAGATCTCTTTGCCTCTGCCCTCTGAGTATCTGGGATTAGTGGTATGTATCACCACACCTGGCTCCTATAACTTATTTTTTTTTAATATTTATTTTTTAGGGGACTGGGGCTGTAGCTCAGCAGTAGAGCGTATTGTGTCCAACTACAACTAAAAATATATTTTTTAAAAATTTAAAAATATATTTATTTTTTAGTTGTAGTTGAACACGATACCTTTATTTTATTTATTTATTTTTATGTGGTGCTGAGGATCAAACCCAGGGCCTCACATGTGCTAGGCGAGCGCTACTGCTGAGCCACAACCCCAGCCTATCCTGTATAACCTTTTTAATCAACTGATTCTTTGACAGGAAAAGGAGGTGAAGAGAGAATTCCAAGCAGATGGCATGGCACAAGCATAAGGAAGAGAGCCGGTGCTCTGGGAACTGCAGGGAGTCCTGTGCAGTCACACATAGTGAGGCAGGGTAGCCTGGCCTGCATAAGGCCCTTCTCCTGAATGAGGAAACAAGTCCTCAGAAAAGGAGCTTCCTTGCCCTTCGAGGAGGGTCACCCCTTGACATTGAACATGAGAAAGTGTGTTTTCTGATCTTTAAAATATATGCATTCTGGGGCTGGGTTGTGGCTCAGCAGTAGAGCACTGGCCCAGCAAGTGTGAGGCACTTGGTTCGATCCCCAGGACCATATAAAAAAATAAAACAATAAAATAAAGGTATTGTGTCCATCTACAACTAAATATATATATGTATGTGTGTGTGTGTGTGTGTGTGTGTGAGTGAGTGTGTATAATATATACTTTCTGACTGCTTTAGGAACTACATAATTGGTGTGAGGGGGTGTGTGTCTGTGTGGAACTGGGAATTGAACCCAGCGGTGTTCTACCATTAAGTCATATCCCCAGCCCATTATTTTTTTATTTTGAGACAGGGTTTCAATAAATTTTCCAGGCTGGCCTTGAACTTGTAATCTTCTGCCTCAGCATCCAGAATTGCTTATATTATAGGTGTGTATCACAGTGCCTAGTCATATTACCTTTCTTTTCTTCTCTCTCTCTCTTTTGGAGGGGTACTAGATATTGAACCCAGGGACGATTAATCAATGACCTACATGCCACATCCCCAGCCTTTTTAAAATTTTTTTTTCTTTTGAGACAGGATCTCACTAAGTTACTTAGAGCCTTGATAAGTTGCTGAGGCTGGCTTTGAAATTGTGATCCTCCTGCCTCAGCCTCCTGAGCTGCTGGGATTACAAGTGTGTGTCACCACGCCCAACCATATCACCTTTTCTAAGAACTCCAGTGCTTCCATCCATATTGTGCCCTGATTGAATTTTAAAATTAGCAAGGATTGCCTCCTCATTCTTGGCTACACTGAGTCTAAAAACCATAAACTATTCCAGGAAGCCAGGTGATGGCTGTCAATTTCCCCCTTTAAGGTTATCCCTGTGCTCTCACAGGGGTATGGGGGAGAGAGGGTGGCTGAGCACAAAGACTGGCAAGCAGGCACCTCCTGGGGAAGGTCATGGCTTCTTCTTACCATTTACTTCCTGTCAATCTCAAGGTTCTCAGAGGTACCCTATGAAATACTAAAACAAACTGGAATTCAGAATTCCAGAATACCAACTAGCAAGCTCTTTACTAACAGGAAATGTGATAATGTAGAACTGCCCAGAAGTATCACTGAGAAGTGCCTATGCAAGGCAGTGGCTGCTGGGTTAGGAGAGGCCCCGAAGAATGGGCTGACTTCTGGGAAACCAAAAGCACGCATGAGGTGGGGAGCAGCCCACAAAACTAAGAAGAGATCTAACCTCAGGGTGATGGAGCAGGTAGTTCACAGCTTCCTCAAAGTACTCCAGGTGCACAGTCTCTAGGCTCCGGGGAAGGTCATCATAGCCATAATAAGCCAGAGCCATTACAGCAAAACCCTTGCCAGCCAGCAGACTAGCTCGGTACTCCAGAAGGCCACCTCCAAGTCCAAACAGGTCCACAATCCCAGGATAGGGCCCAGGTTCTTGGGGAGAAACAAAACATTACAGAAAAGGGAGTTATAAAATAAGCAAGGATTATCTCCTCATCCTTTTAAGTCTTTGCAGTGCTGTCAAAAGCCATACATTACCTACTGGGAGATGAACAACTTTTCCACTATCAAAAATGCTTAAAGACCTCTGGTATCCAAACATCCAGAGAGTGGCCTAGGCTAAATCCACATTCCCCTCTGTATCAAAAAAGCCACACGGATTTTCACAAAGACCTTGTATTTCTTTTGAGATCAAAAACACTTTATGGCCCCATGATACAGCACTTGGCTGACATGAGTGATACCCTGGGTATAACAGCATTGAAAAAAAAATACATACACACACACACACACAAATGAAAATTAAGAGCAACAAACATATGGCCCTTCCTAATCCCCAAAATTGGACAATGCCAACTGCCAGAGAATGCACAGCCACTGAAACTGTCTGTCATACAATGCTAATTGTGATGCAAAATAGTGCAGTCTGTGAAAAAAATCAGTTGGCAGTTTCCTCTGAAGGCCTATGTATTCTTCCCATATGACCCCAAAATCCCATTCCTATGTCTTTACCCAAGAGAAATAAAAACCATCTTCACACAAAAACTTGTGTGTGTTTGTAGCAGCCTTGTATAATCGCCACAAACTGCAAACAAATGTGTTTCGACTGATGAATGAATATAAACTGTTCTATATCCATGTTTTGCATCACACAGAACAGGTCAGTAAGTCTCAAAGACAATCTGATTAGCCAATGGGCACAGACTCAAAATGCTACTTACTGGGGCTGGGAGTATATAGGTGGAGCACTTGACTAGGAGGTGCAAGGCCTTGGGTTCAATCCTCAACCCCATAATAAAAAATAAAAAGCTTCATTCTGCATGATTACACATATAAGATACTTTCACCATTTATATAATAAGAAAATCTCTCTTTCATATATACAGTTTACAGAAAAACATAACAAACACTTGCTAGGCACCATTCTGTTTAGAAAATAGTTCAGTACTCATACATTGTAATTCCCTGAATCTTTCTGTCCCTTCCCCACCTCCCCATCTCTCAGTTTTCTTGATATGTACATGTGTGTGTTCAAGTATGTATTTATACACACACACACCACACACACACACACACACACATGTAATGAGGATTGAACCCAGGGGGAGATCCATCACTGAGGTATATTCCAGCCTTTTTTGTTTTGTTTTTGGACAGGATCTCTCTAAATTGCTGAGGCTGGCCTAGAACATCCCATCTTCCTGGGCCACCATGGCCTGCCAGTTTTCTTGGTAATATCACCACTTATATATGTACATATGTACCTAAACAACATTTTGCTCCTTTTGCCTGTCTTTTGAATTTTATCTCAGTGCAAATATACTGAACGTGTTCTCCTGGGGTTTGATTGTTTCACCTAACCTGTGGGGAACACTAGTCCATGTTGATTATTGCAGTTGTGGTTCATTACTTTGCTGGAAACACAGCTCCACCTATCCATCACTTCCACTGTTGGTGGATATTCGGGCTGTTAGCAAACAACATGCCTCTGGGTGCACATGTACCAGAACAAGTAAAAAGCCATATTCAACTAGGTAACTGCAGTAGCTGAACACTGTGACCAGAGTAGCTGAACACTGTGACTGCTTCTGCTGCGAATGTGAGTTTCTCTCCTCCAGGTACTTGGCAACAATTGGTCATGTTAGACTTCTAAATCTTTGCCACTCCTGAGGTTATGAGATGCATTCTATAGTTTTATTTTTGCATCTCCTTCATTACTAATGAGGCTAAGCATCCATTCATTTTTTTTCACTGACCAATAACTTTATGTATATAAACACCCAATAATCTCCAGAAAGTGAACTTCCTCCTATTGCAATGGCCAATTTACATAAATCTTAACATACTGTGGGAATGGGAAGAAAAGTTGTAAAACTGAGAAACTTTTAAAAGAACACCGAAAAATTGAAACTACCTACAATGGCTTTTAAAAATTATTAGAAGTGTCTTTCCCTTTTCCTTATGATGTCTTTATAGCTGAGCCTGGATTTGAAGAATCTCAGATCTGGAGCATCAGGACCACCTCCCCAGGCAGCTTTTTATTCCATTGCTATCTTCTTAACACGGACCTCTGGGATGTTAGGATCTACCTCTTTCTTAGGCGAAATAACACGGAGACCAGAGACAGTGCTAGACGGAAACAATAAAGGCCAAGTGGAGGCTCACCTGGAGGTAGGAAGAGCGTGGCCCGCACTTTGCCCTCGCGCACCGGCACCCGCCACACCCGGGGCAGCATGAAGTGGCGCTCGTGCAGCGCGCGGGCCAGCTGCTGCCCGGCGTCGGGCTCGTGGCCGTCCAGCACCTCCAGCTCCACCACAAAGGGCGTCTGCACGTCCCGCTTCACCAGGCGCCAAAACGGCTTATCAGGCTCCATGGCCCAGATCAGCCCCATGGGCTCCAGGCCCGCGAAGCTGCCGCCCAGCGCGGGCGCGCGCGCCAGGTCCAGCTCGCCCCTGGCGTCCGCGCGGTAGCGCGCGTGGGCCTGGAAGAGAGCGCCCTTCTCGTCGCGCAGAGACGCGCGCAGCGTGACCGGCTGTTCGGGGGCCAGGCCGCGCACGGCGATGTGCACCGGCTCGTCCCAGTGGCAGCCGCCCGCGGGCTCCAGGATCAGTGTCGCAGCCATTCGGGATCCAGGGAGAAAATGAGAGAATGGTCTCGGAACCGCCTGGGGTTGTGGGGCAGGGTTCTTTACTCCATCCGGGGAAGCCAACGCCGGCGGGACCAGTCGCACCACTCCCATTGGCTCGCGTTTGGGACACCCTCCAAGTCGCTGTATGAGGCTTCTTTGTGCAAATTCAAAGCTTTCTGAAAGGAAGAATGCCTGCTAAGAGCAAAGTCAATCAGGAGATCATGTGGTGAGTGTGGAAAGAGACTTACTAATACGACTGCTGAAGCTGAAAGATTGAAAGAGATACAGTTGCACAAATCTGAATTTTTGCAAAGGCATCCCGGGCAATCGTGTATCAGGTGATCTGTGAGACACACAGCCCAGCCCTCCTTATCTCTTAATTCCTTACCAAGCCTTTTTCTAGAGCTCCTGGTACCTGGAGCTCTTTCCAGAACAGGTTGATGCTTATGGAGTCCGATTGCATATGGTCCTGTCTGACCCTGCTCCTTAACAGCTGAGGAGTCTTCAGCAAAGTTTCATCATGAAGTCTCTGAATACATTGTGCTTATCTGAAAGGCTTGTTGGGACTATTAGATGAGATACTATTTTAAACAGCAATGATATGTTTGCAGTATCAATTCCCAGAGAAAGAGTATTGCTTCTCAACTCACATATCTAATTGTTGGTAGTGTTCAGTTTGGGGTTGTGTGGCTTGGAGTTCTGGCAGGAAGCAAATGGCATGGGCAAATTGGGTAACATTAAGAGTTTCATAGAGTTTCACAGTGTTTGCAAAGGCATGGGAAGGTTAGAAACAAAGAGATCCAACAAGGTTTTGTGAAGAACTGTGGGCTCAAAGAAGAGGCTGCCTGGCAGGAACTGTTGCCTTCCTGTAGAAAGGCAGACACCCTATGATGAGATGGAAGTGGGGGCCACTCAGTACCTTGAGTTCACTCTTCTATTGACCTTGTGTATCTTGCAAGTGAGTCTCTAGCTGAAGCTAACCATACAGCTTAGCCTAATTGGATACTGAGCAGACCGAGAAAGAAGAGTACATGGAAGGTGTTTTTGAAAATACAAGCTGCTGCGACACACAACTAAATCATTCCGGGACAATCCAGGTGGATTTGGATTGGCACGAAATAATTACACAGACAGAATACCTTTTTCTGCTCTCGACTCTAGGAGTCCATTGGAAAGAGAGAGAGAGAGACACAGAGCCTCCTGAATTCTTTATTTTTATAGGGGACACACAAGGGGAGGTTCAATGGAACATTCCATCCAAAAAAAGTAAGGGGTTAAGTTTCAGGGGGTTGAATCTAGCTTCCTGATGTCCTGTGGTTAGTAGATTGGTTGACGTCTTGGCAAGTCACACCCATCTCAGGTGCTGTGTGGGATCAAAGGCAGAGCGAGCTAAAAGGACATGTACGTGCTCAGCCCAGACAGAACAGTAACATCAGTCCAGTCCGCTCAGGCACTCAAAATGCTCACAGCTTACCCACACAGCCCCTGGCTGGCCCGCGACAACAAGCTGAATAAACATTTACAAATAGGGGGGGGGAAATATGGAGAATGGTGACTTGGACCATGGTCTTTGACTGCCTCAGAGCTGTGGCTAAACTTTGCCCCAGAAACATTCTGTGCAAAGATGCAGGATGAGATTTCCTTGGAAGTATGGTAGTTCCATGCAAAGGTACAGAGTGTTTGATGCTAAGGCATGGAACAATAATTGTCTTGACCTTGAGTTCAGACACCAGCTGCCAGGGACAGAGTTCTGAGTATAACAAGGTAACCACAATATCTTGCAAGTGCTAAAGCCAGAATTAGACAGGCAGTCAGTATAGGTAGGTAAATCCAGTCAGATCAGACCCAGGAGGCTAGTTTTGAGTGAGTTCAGCAAGTTGGAGACTGTCCTCTGAGGGATTGAAATATTAATTCTTTCAGAGCCCTTCCTCCACCCTTATCAAGAACCTGCCCCTGCTCCAACCTGTTGTTAAGGTAACCTGTCCCAAGAGTTGCCCCTCCCTATAGGGAGCTATAAGGTTGTTAATGTGTCCTGGGTTGCACCATCTTGCCCTTCCCTCTTCAGCCCACCTGTTTGCCATCTTTTGGCCATCCCACTGAGCATTCCTGGGCCTAGTCAAGTACACAGGAAGGGGAAAGATAAGGGGAAGAGGGCAGGAGAAAAAAGGAAGCCTAGGACATATAAAGAGGGCCGAACACCTCGCTTCTGGGGATACCAGGATATCAGCTATGGCACCCTTCTCCCTCCTGGGAGAAGTCTATGTTATCCCTGTTTACATAAACCCTGCTTTATATGCTTGTGTGTGTGTGTGTATATATTTGCCTATATGCTTCTCTAATGTTCAAACTTCAACATTTGAGGGAGCAGAACTCACCACCGGTAACGTTTATCAGTGCTATGACCTTCAAGCCTGCCTGCTTTGCAGAAACTTTCCTACAAATAACCTTTTGATGATAAAACCTATGTAATAAACATGCTGTGCTAGCTCTGGGTCACTGTTTCTCCATCAGAGGAAGGTGTTCCACTTTGTCCCATCTTTCTCCTTATAAATGTTTCTATGTCTTTCTTAATCCCCCATCACCCCTTGCCAGGTTCTAGGGTTTGGTAGTGCAGGTTGCAGCAAGAAAACATTATTAGATCAGGAGCCAGTTCTCCTAGTTCAGTGACCTTTCCCCCACTCTACCCAATAAAGCAACTGCAGCTACAGATTTTTAAACACATACCATCTGCAAAGAATTGACCTGGGCGGCTGTAGCCACCAACACAGAAATTGAAATGGACACTCAGATTTCAGAAAGGCAGCTCCTGCCTCCCCTTCCCTGATGCCCAGCTTGCTATGGAGACACACGGAGTGGCTCTTTAACACTGGAGGAAAAAGCAGCTGAAGAGGTGGCCTGCCCTGCATGGGCCATCCAGAGCCCCTTCCTCTGGGGCATTCTGTCCTGGGAGCTCCATGGAAGAAGTAGGTGGTGTCAGATCACAGGGGTGCTGTGATCTGCAGAGAATCAGTAGCCGTAGAAAGTGCTCTGTCCCCGTGAAAGGAGGGTGGCCCCACACAATGGCCAGTGTTGTCCAGTAACTTGAAGGCTGAACCTCATACCCAGATCTATAACATGCTGTCTCCAGAATTAGACCACATATTAGTTTCTGTGCCCCTAACAAAGCATGAGACCCTCATGGCTAGACAAACTCCCTTCCCCTCTTTAGAGCAGAATTTTCTGGTTACCCAGATATGACACACCTGGAAGTTTTCTCTTTGAGAGGGTCCCGTAGGTTTACCATGGTTGATAAGGCTGGTTATCGGTGATGAGTCCTGCTTCCCCACATGTTGAAGGTTGAACATTAGAGAAGCATGTGGAGGCAAGCATATGAACCAGGGTTTATTTAAAAAGGGGTAACATAGACTTCTCCCGCAAGGGAGAAGGGGGCCATAGCTGGTATCTTGGTATCCCAAGAAACAAGGTGTTCTGCCCTTTTTATATGTCCTAGGCTTCCCTTGTTCTCCTGCCTTCCCGCCCCCCTTATCTTTCTACCTGACTAGGCCCAGGAATGCTCCATGGGAAGGCCAAAAGGTGGGAAATGGGTGAGCTGAAGGGGGAAGGGCAGGGTGGAGTAGACAAGGACATGTTAACAACCTTATAGCGCCCCCTGTAGGGGGGGGGGAAATTCCTAGGACAGGTTATCTTGGCAACAATTTGGAGCAGGGGCTGATTCTTGATAAGATCCCTTAGGGGACAGTCTCCAACTTCCCAGACTCACTCAAAATTGGCCTCCTTGACCCCGACCTGACTCGATTTACCTATCTACACTGACTGCCTGTCTAATTCTGGCTTCATGGTGAACAGCCACTGGTGTGAGTTAAGCATTCAGTGTGGAAAGTCTGAGCTGCAGAAGCAGTGGCTCCTGGGTCAGCCCCGAACTGAGCACTGTGAAGATAACGAGTATTTTCTGGGTCTGAATTGGCTCTAGCTCACTGGGTGAAGCTCCACTTCAATAGATCATGGCTAATGTTACTGAAAGTTCCTGAAGCAAGACTATAGGGGCATCTCTTGCTGCCAAGTGAGGCAAACTGCTGTCAATGTCTAGAAATGCATTGGGGCTGAAAAGAGTGCTCTAGGAAGCTTAATGAATGTGTTCAGTAAAAATCGTGGGAGGCCATTCTTTGGGCCCCAACAGACAAGAATAAAAATCAAAAAATGGAGCCACTCAGGCTAAAATTCCAGGCACCAAATAAAACCAAGCTGTTGCCTAAAGTTGGAGAAACCGGAAGAGTGTGATAACAGGGGTTTCCTAAATGAGCCAAGAGGCATGATCATTAGTTTTTCTTTGCTTTAATTCTTAATCTTAATTCTTAATCTTTTAATCCTTACATCAAGTAACCTGAAGTTAGCCAATCCATTCTTCTGTTGTGCTATCTTCCTGGCTCCACCTTTTAAGGAAAGTTAATTTTCACATGCACAGTCCCTTCTTGTTTTTTTTTTTTTTTGTGTGTGTGTGTGTGTGTGTTGTTTTTTGTTTCTTCTTCTTTCAGACCTCTTCTGCTCAGTTCAAGGGAATGCTTATTCTTTTTTGCCCAGTTATAGACTAAACAATAAAGCCAATTAATAACTTAATTAGTGTCACTTTGTCCTTTGATAAAAGAATCCTTTGGGGGTAATTCTGAGATATCTTGCTATAGACACATGATGTCAGTCACTGTTAACTCAAGTTTATTTACTTTTCTGTGAGTCTCAGTTACTATGCAGGATCCGTCTCCTTTTCTGATAAGCCACCTGAGAGTAAAGGGGGAAAGACTGGAGCTGGGACAGACTCCCACTCACTCTGGTGTCATACCTCTAACTTCACTCATGACCCTGGGCCTGGGCCCATTTCATATCTACAGTTGGAGTGGGATGAAGAGCTCCATACTTTCATTTTTTTGAAGTCTGTATACCACCCTTTTGAATATGTATCAGGGGTGACCAGCATCCCAACAGGGTAGGTTCCTGCTCAAGAGGTGCAAGTTGCCTGGGATATAAAAAGTCTGAAATAATCAGTAAAAAATAAAGACAGAGACAGAAACGGTATATGAAAAGGGGAGCACTTAATGGGTCTTCCAGTCCTGATAGGAGCTTGAACTGAACAACTGAAAAAGGGGCCCCAATTCTTATTTAAGGAGGAGTACATCAAAGACAGGG